CTCTCATAGACAAAGCCAACTCGAACATTCCATTTTTCTTCCATTGTCCGTTCTTACAATTGAGAGGACATTCCACATTTGGAAAAATCAATTGGCTCAACTGTTTCCAGGCCCACCAAAATCTGGCTGCATGACGTATAGACACATTTTACCCCATGCAACAGAATAGTCGGAGTAGTCTAGAGGTTCCATGGAATATTATGTTGTCGTGATTGTGGCTTATGGACCTCGGTAGAATAACCTTGGAAACGATGTTAGGTACGCACCTCTACGATTGAGGCAGATTGAAACTAAGCATAGAGTAAACTACCTATCTAACCACTAACACTCGTCTTCTTTTGATCTTTAATGGTCTACTGATAAAAGAAGCGTTAGACATGCTTATTGCTTATTCAAAAAGCCCTTACTTTCTGGAAGAAAAGATCTGTCAAAGTGAACCCGTCACTAACAAAGCCTAGATCACGCACGTTCTGGCCGACTTCCAAGGCTGGCATACACTGTGGGGTTGAACACTGATTTGATGCGTACAATGTACAGTCATTATGCCACGGAGCTGTCCCATGCAGGTCATACATTATTATCCTACATATGTAGGTAGCATGTAGGTAGCCCCAACCCGATCTTATGACGTAGTTCATCTTCCCGCGCCTTCAAACGTTCAGCGAGTTAGAATCGTCGGTAGCTGAATCCACCAATGAGAATGAAATATGAACTTTAATTCAATTAAATTTCCCAATGTTTTCATCCAGATCTCATATCACAAGTATCCTAATGCATATTGGAGAGTTTGAGACACTTCAATGATCCAGTTAACAACTAGTAGAACTCCACTGAGGTCAAGCTATAGACAATGGTATTTTCGTTTGTTTCTCCTAACCCTGCTCACCTCGATGAAATAGATTTCATAAGGAATAGAGCTTGTCCTCACGTGATAACGGATGATCTCGCATCAAAGCTCACGCCAACTCCATTGGCATGCAATTCTCCTTCAAGAACCGGTCATGAAATCCCTTCTCGGCAATCTGCCCCGTGTCTCTACAGTCTTCTTTCGTAGTGCATATATTTGTAACGCACCCAGCATACCTAGGTATACCCGGCCTTATATAACGACGAATAATTGCCAGTCAATGACCGTCTCACTTCCCCTTCTGCCGTGGCACGTTCATGTCCGACTTGATGAACGAGTATATCAATGCACTCCTGAGGCGCCATCTGGCCAAGATGAAACACTATGGAGAATATAATCCGGGCGCATACCAGAACACCATCGCGGTCCAGTTCTGCGGCGTCTTTTTGAACCTTCCGTCATTCTACAGGATAGACTCTCAGTACAGAGCCTACCCTTCGATCCAAAACGGGGTGTCAAATAGGCCGCGATAGGGCCGTGTCTCGCAATCATGTGCATCTGCAAATGGTGTCTGGGTATTGTCTCATGGAACACTGTAGTGCGGAAGAAATGGATGTTGTTTCCACGCATCCCTATCAGCTTGGCTTTCTGATCCATCCCGTCGGTTGGGTACGAGACAATGAGACACTCCCCTCCGAGGAAGAAAGGGCTTGCTTCCTGGCACTCGAGCGACATCATAAACATTTACCAGTTTTCCTTGGCAACTGGAGGAACGGTGACGGTTGAACCTTTGAGACTTCAGTTTGTAATGACTGTCTAAATCGTTTTTTACTCGATGAGGTGTAAGAGTACCTAAATCGATATCACAATACTTACAGATGAACCCGATCAGCTTTATCTCTATAATCAAGATGTTCACAACTACGATACTAAACTTAGGTACCAGAAAAAGGTCCGTATCACCTACATTATATACAACATTGTAATGATGATGATACCGCGACTTCCCTATAATCACAGCAATATTGTTCTTCCTCTCTATCAACACATCCAGGATGCATCCATGGGCCCCGGGGCCCCGTATGTGCATAGTTATGTAATAAATTCATGGATACGCGAGCCGCATCTATCTATGTATACATTCGGGCATAACCAATTGCGAACCTTATACTAATCCTAATTAGGTACTTAGAGGCCGACAACCAAATGGGAATCGGAACTTATAAACATATATTACTCCTTTAAAGGAGACTGTCTCCTTTCTAACCTCCCCCCCCCCTCCCCACCTCTCTTTTACAACTTCGTGAATCTATTCCACTGGAATCTACCCTTGATCAACGCTACCCTATACTACAAGTTACAATGCCGTTCCATTCAATCACTTCAATCCGCCAGCCGCTAAAAAAAGGCTTTATGTTTTTAGCCACAAACTCGCGCCTTCAGATCAATCTCACGCTTTTGACTATTCTCGGATGTGTTTATAACCATAACGTGGCTCTATTATCCTTTAGGGAAAGGATATTAGCCCTAGAAGAGAATTCTCCTATCTCATCGCAGAGAGAAGAAACCGATTAAATGCCGCTCCAGTCCAAGCCCAAAGGATCGAGCTAAAGCAGCTTTGGATAGGGAATATGGTGATTCTCTTCGCTTCCACTTTTATCGAACAACAGTCGAAGCCGGGTCCCGATTAAATTTTCTTTACTACGGACTATGTATAATTTATCAGCCGTGTGTAACCTTTTCTTGATGTCAGATCAGTGTTAGTCGTCGCCAAATTGGGTGTCATCAATGTTCCCACCCCCGTAGACGTTTTTCCTATATAGTATGTAGCCCGTTATGATCGAGTAGCACTCTAACCAAAGCCATATATGGCCAGTATGATCGAAAATACAGGGTGGATCTTGATCATGAGCTTCGAATGAATGCTAAGCAATATAGTGTGTCGACTGGCTATGCTTATTGTGCAGATGCCCTCTTGGCGTTGAAAGCAAAGCGTAAGAGATATCTCCGGCGCTAAATCAATATCGGTCTAGCACATTATCTCAGCACTCTATAATATCCATGGATGGAACTTTCATGGGGATTCTAGCTACTGTTTGCTTTAAGCAGTCAAGTAGGTGGTATGTCACTGGCTGACATTTTCCGCCGTTTCTTCGTTTGGTAAGTTGGACCCTTTTCTTCCAAGATTGCCGCATACTCACGATGTCCAGGCCTGCTGCTACGATGTGGCCTAGTCAATTTGCAAGCACGTCTTTGTTTTATTCCCTTCACGACTGGAGCTCTTCAGATGAATCAGAGACCTATGGATGGAGCATTTCACGCTACTGATATTTCTATATGTGATGATTGGGGCTTTTGTCTGGTATTGGTAAGGCTCTATTGTTCCAATCTGAACTATATATACTAATTTCTTCGAACAGTAGGATACTGGGAGTACTATGGCAAGGTCTCTCGGTTTATGCTTTTGTTATCTGTAAGGTCCCGTTAGCTCGTTTCATTCCCGACTTGCCTTGGCTCTTTTTGCCTGTAGGGATCCGACCTAACAATGTGATTTTGAACTAGTTATTCGGAGGCTTTATAGGGCTCTCCCTCATTCCTATCACATTTGATTGGATGTAAGATAGTCCCCCTCAATCCCGGAAGGCCTGAAAGGGTGTAAAGCTAATTATATAGTGGGACCCCCGAAATATCGGGCTAAACCTTTGTACCTAGATATACCGACCTGTATAGCGCCTGCCCGGTATATACTATTATAAGAAGTGTCGGCCGCGTAGTCTTCTTAGTGATCTTCTCAGGTAGTGTTCTCCGATAGTCTTTTCATGTCTTTTCAGTGGTCTTTTTGGCAGTCTCCTTAGGTATATAGCTTTGACTACTAACCTCTCAGCGCTAGATCATATGCCTATAGGCTAACTATATTAAGAGTTTTAGACTGGCAGAACCGGCAGAGTTTGGAGGGTGGTATATCTTGGTACAAAAGTTTAGCCCAATATTTCGGAAGTCCCACTGTAACCATCTACGTTTCTACAATTCGCAGCTTCCTTGTATGTGATGCTCCAGGTCCGATGATCAAATCCGACAGAATACGTACGGTGGGCCTTTTTTGTGTCCATAATCCTCGGCGTGGTCTTTATAGTACGTTGTATGATGACAACTGCCCGGGTGTGGAGCCCTGGAGCGGGTTATTGCTGACACTCACGGCTACCTATTACTGATCATTTTACAGCACCACTCCATTGAGTTCCTTTTCATGGGTTATCTTTGGCGTCGTCTTCAACCACTGGATTCGACGCCGGTGGGGTGGTTGGTGGTATACTTACAACTATATCACCGCTGCAGGACTTGACTCGGGCCTCATTCTGCCGGGTGTCTCGATACCCCAGTGGTGGGGAAACACAGCTCCCTATGAGACTATGGTACGTAACTACAATATATATCCCTACATGTATACTCCGTACATTTATTGATGTGGGTCCTAATGAGGAATATATGGCTTTCGTTATACTGTAATTCGAAAGGTTGTCTCAGAAGGAGAGACTTTTTGACCAAAGAAGTGGTGATAGTCACAGTACTTATATCAATTATGCTTGTCTTGGAAATTTTATATATAGATGCAGATCTATACTGTTGAACGTGGACCTTGACCTCGGGATATTTATAGTACCTTGGCCCACGTGACCATGGCTAATACCCGTTAGTAGTTCCCCAGGGTTGCACGTAGTCAGGTGGTGACGTGGTCACAGTAGTATTTATGTGCATGTCAATAGTATTGAAAAATAAACAGCCAACTAAGAGAAGTAAAAGAAATAAAAAAAATTGTACAAAAAAAGGGGCGCAATCGGGAGGTGAAACCCAGCCTCAAACAGAATTTGGGTATCAACTCGAGAGCTTAGTTGCAACCTTGGATGTCCCCTAGACGATCTCCGCATCCCAACCTCCTCTTACTCTTAACCCCCACCCACCATCTTTGTTCCTTTTTAGTTATCATCATCTTTCATCGCATTCGCATTCGCATTACGGGATTTTGTTTCATCTCGTGACAAAGTCCTCGCACCGCCTTGACTGCGCTCGGGGCCGAGCCCTGGCTGCGGCTTCCCTTATCCCTCCCCGCTCATTCCTTTGACCGCTCCAAATCCCTCAAGGGGAACCATCCACGATGTCGGTACCGACGACTAAAACACCAACTGTGGTCCGCAGCCACTCAACTACATCTCGCCCCTCTCGAGCCCCATCTGATCTCCCGCATCGCACACGCAGTGTGGCGGTCCGATCGTCGAATACATCCCAGCCTCCTACGCCAACTAACCTGTCACATTCGAAAACTCCTTCCCAGGACCGACGTCCTCCCTCAAACCATACTGCCCTCGAGGGTGCAGCCCGGCGCGAATTCGAGGCAGCCAATGTCGCGCGCATGCCTTCGCGTCGGGAAACGTCATCGGACCGATCTCAGGAACGCCCCTCGACCGCTCGAACTGAAACTGCCCGGAGGCACCAAAGAAATCTCTCATCGCAAAGCCGTCACCGAGACAGTATCGATATGACACCGAACTCGGCTTCACAGCAGCCGCCGCAGCATGCGACCGCAACAAGTGCCCCCACAGCCGCAGCTGCGCCTCGGCGACGGACCACGATCACGACGCCGACCGGTCAGTGGGCTCTCGGCAAAACAATAGGTGCCGGAAGTATGGGAAAGGTTAAATTGGCGAAAAATACGGAGACTGGAGAACAGGTACGAATATTCAACTCTGTTGTTTCAAATTATCAACACAATACTGACTACGGTCGCCAGGTTGCCATTAAAATCGTGCCCCGACTCTCGACCGAGGAACATCGCAGTAGCCGGGAGACAGAGAGAGCCGATCGCTCAAAGGAGATTCGGACAGCTCGAGAAGCTGCCATCGTCAGCCTAGTGAACCACCCGTATATCTGTGGCATGCGGGACGTCGTTCGAACTTCATACCATTGGTATATGCTGTTCGAATATGTCAACGGCGGTCAAATGCTGGATTATATCATCTCCCACGGCAAGCTGAAGGAAAAACAGGCGCGCAAGTTCGCACGGCAGATTGCCAGCGCATTGGACTACTGCCACCGCAACAGCATCGTACATCGCGATCTGAAGATCGAGAACATCCTTATCAGCAAGACTGGTGACATCAAAATCATTGATTTCGGTCTCAGCAACTTGTTCTCCCCGAGAAGCCTCTTGAAGACTTTCTGCGGTAGTCTGTATTTCGCAGCCCCGGAGTTGCTTCAGGCAAGACAATACACGGGACCCGAAGTTGATGTTTGGAGCTTTGGAATTGTCCTTTATGTCTTGGTTTGTGGAAAGGTACCTTTTGATGATCAGAGTATGCCTCAGCTGCATGCGAAAATCAAGAAAGGTGTGGTGGAGTACCCACCAGGTCTCACTGCTGGTAAGTCAACCTTACAAATATGCTTTCTCTGATTCCAATTACTGATTAGGCCTCGCAGAATGCCGCCACATTATCTCCCGCATGCTGGTCACTGACCCCAAGCAACGTGCCAGCTTGGCCGAGATCATGAGCCATCCCTGGATGAATAAGGGTTTCAGTAACCCTCCGGAGAACCACCTTCCTCACCGTGAGCCTTTGCAGCTACCTCTGGATCAAGAGGTCGTTGAAAAGATGACCGGTTTTGACTTCGGGCCTCCGGAATACATTACCGCTCAGTTGACCAAAGTATTGGAGTCTGAAGATTACCAACATGCTATCCGGTTGTACATGCGCGAGCAACACCAGCCTGTTTCCAATCACCCAGAGCGCAAACGAGGAGTATTCGATTTCTACAAACGGCGAAACTCTGCAGCCAGTCGTGATACCCTTTCCGCGCCTTCGGCCGAGGCGGTGCAACTGGGGAACGACCCTTTAAATGCTTACAGTCCGTTGGTATCAACATATCATCTAGTCAAAGAAAAGCTTGACCGAGAGCGGTCCGAAGCACGGCCTGGTGCCCTTGGTCTGCGTCAAACCCCCCAGTGAAGTCCACATGCCTGAACTGCGGCCCCCGGAAGCGGCCCACACCAATCAGTACCAGTTGGCAGGAGACAAGGATACAGGACGACGATCTCGGCCACGGGCTCGCACCCATGGCGAGGACGAAGTCACAGAAGGAATGAAAATACTTCATTCTTCCTCGCCATCTGCGCACGTCCCAGCCCCACAGCCCGACACACCCGCCAAGAAAGAAAGCACTGCTGCTGGAATCTTGAGAAGATTTAGCACTCGCAGGACCAAAGATCGCGGCCGCGATGTGGATCGCGAACGCATCAGTACCCCTAACACACCCACACTCAACGTTCAACCTCCTGCAGATTCGGCATCTCCGATTCACCGTGGCTTCAGTGTAAGGAGAACCCGACGGGCGGAGCCATCTCCAGGCGAGACGTCTTCGAATGACAGTCGGCCACAGCAGGATCTTCTAGCGGCGCCAGGATCGTCGGAACGCAATGTGCGGTCCAACAAATTCCTGGAGAGATCTACCAGTGTCAATTCGGCAGACTACCGAGCTCGGAGAGCCACACGGAGAAGTGATGCCGATGCCTTGGATGTTCCCGCAGACCGTCAACCGCCCTCTACCAGTGACTCTGATCAGGTTGCTCCGAATAATCAGAGAGATCCGGCCAGCGTGAGGGCTGGTGGACGCACGCACACGGCGCGCACCATGTCGCTGGGACACGCCCGACGAGAAAGTATCCAGGCACGCCGGGCCCGGCGCGACGCTACCCGGGAGGCCAATGTGCCCGAAGAGACCGATGCAGATATCTCCGGCGCAGGGACAGCACTGGAGAGCGCTAACGAGGGAGAAGATCTGTCCAAGCCCGTTTACCTGAAGGGTCTTTTCAGTGTTTCTACCACCAGCAGCAAACCCTTGCCCGTTATTCGCGCTGACATCATTCGGGTATTGAGGCAGCTCTCGGTTGAGTATGTCGAGATCAAGGGTGGGTTCAGCTGCCGCCACGCCCCCAGCATCGAACTCGACAAGGTGGTTGATGTTGCCCCTCCCAGCCCAGAAAGACAGGGGCAAGTGTCAGGGCACCGCCGCCGTATCAGCTTTGGCGGCCTTCTCAGCCATGATGAAACCCGAGACGACGGCCGCACTGGGTCCTCCAAACTTCGTCGGGCTCAAGCTGCGCCGGATCGCAGTTTCACCACGAACTCGGATGCCTCGGATGAATATGTTGCACGGGAACAGGGTGGTCCAGCCGGCGAGCGTGTCGTTGGCGAAACCACTACCCGTGTACAAAGCGACACTGGAGAGAACCTCGTCCTCCGATTTGAAATCCTGATCGTGAAGGTGCCCCTGTTCTCCCTACACGGTATTCAGTTCAAGAAGGTATCAGGTGGCATGTGGCAGTATCGAGAGATGGCGAAGAAGATCCTCGATGCATTGAAACTGTGACCTGTCCCATTCGACAGAGAATCATTTGCCAAGGAGCGCATTCCATGACAAGACCTCTTCCCTAGACTTTGTGGCACACAGTTGGCCTTCTTTTTTTCTTTTGTGTTACACCCATCCACGACGCATCCGCATGCACGAGCATTCCTCATTTCCCCCATTATCATTGCATGTCCATTGCTATCTTTGCTTTCCTCTCGTATCTCATAGGGGATCATTTATCTTCATTAGCCCGTCATTTGCGCTTTTCGTCCTGAACTAAGTACTGCTCACCTATTTCAATGCCTATTGACCTAGCTAGACTTGCTGTGGTCTTCATAGTGTATATTAGAATCGAGTAAAAACGTTTTTGGTTGCTAGCGTTTTTGCTTTAGCTTTTGCTTTGCAGCCCGTGTCATCTATTGGCCGTTGTGGCCTAGGGAGATGGTGTTGTACCATTCGTTGGACAGTCGATTATGAACTTTACGGTCCTACAAATACAAAATGGTTGTGGCACTCTTCTGTAGGATTATGTTTTATGTTCGAAACTGCCGCGTACTGCGCAGATGAATTTGCTATTGAACCAAGTATGTTAGCATACTTCCTCCCTGTCTGTGATGTTGCATAGCCTATGTAATTCATATAGGCCTTCGCTATCCATGGGCCGCTTGCTAATGATTCTAAACCCAAACTATATCTTAACCTCGGCCTCGGCGATTGTCCAAGCCAAAAGCACCTCGAACGCGGTATCTGGAGGCTAGTCAACAACACCAAATATCGTTTGAAATTTTCAGAGACCCATTATACTAATGGTATAGAAAGATTATAGCGCTTTACATTCCAGTCTGGAGCTCGAGATTAAATCCGGACATGGTGTCCACGGTTTCTACGGTGCATATGTCCGCATTCATGTAGACGGCAGGTCTATATATGCAATGAAGGAATCAGAGAATATTCTTCAACACATGGGCTTCAATTTGATAGTTCCCGAGGTCGTTGATAACACTTGTGGAACTGAACGTCACAAGGGTAGCACCACCCGCTGTTGTGGCACGAAGGCCCAGAGCTGAAGGCCCAGAGCTCGAGGCTCAGGGTCCAGTCCAGGTGGGGCCCGCCAGCTGTGTTGCTGTGTAACCCCTAGCCGCCGGCACCCGCACCTTGCCCACCCCGGGGAGTGGGCACTCGGGGCAGCCCCGGAGGGTACGGGCGCAAGGTACGCGCGGGGCCGTGAGGCGCCCGGGCGCCCTAACGGATTAGCCAGTTGGCGGAAGTAACGAACACTTCCCCGGCAACCCCTCTCTTCTCCTAAGGAACTAAAACCGCTACATCTGCTGATATATACTAAGTGAGTAAATAATTCAGAAAGGAAATTGCAAATAAAGCTTCTCTATAGACAAGCCGAGCTATTATCTCCTTCTAGGGCCCCGCCCATGCAAAGACTTCTCCGACTCCAGTCCCCACCAACAAAACAACAAACCGCCTTGCTCAGGGAGGGCCTAGGGTCAAATGCCTCTAAAAGGCGACCGGATGCGCCGGAATCCCTTCCAAGGTTGCGTCCACGGGTAGATATGTGGTCGCGAAGACATTAATAGTGAGGTCGTAGAGATGATCACGTGACAACCGTTTTATTTCGCTTTTTCGCTAATACACAAGGCATCTAGCCAGAACTACGTTATTCTTAGGGTAAAATAACTCTATACTAAAAGCCCGACCTTGGAATGAGTAGCTAGGAATCAGTAGTTGGGATTCGGGGGCCCTAGGAATAGTGAGTTAGGAATCGGGAGTTAGGAATCGCGACCTAGGAAAATCGGGGTTAAAGCAAATTTCTACATAGCCCGACCTGTTTATTCATATCGTCTATAGGATTCTAGATAATTATACTAACAATTCTTCATAAAATAGGCGAACGCCGATGCTGAGTCATCAACCACATTTGCAGCCCTAGGGGTGTGCGCGTACGCTGATTGGTTGAAGTGAGGTCCGTCCGCACTGGGCATGGTCCGATATCAATGCCAAGACTTTACGACAGCCATTGCCCTCATGACTTCAGAGCCCTCTAAACACCGATCCCCACGTCTGACCAGAACGATAAATATACCTATCGATAGCGGGGACTGCGCTCTATAATCTGGGATTTTTTCCCCGCAATTTTAGGCACTTCTTGAGCCTGGAAGCTATCGGGTGGTTGGAGATCGATTGTAGACCCATAACTTTCCCGGGTACTGTTCGCACACTTCCCAACAACTCGCTTTTAATCACCAACCAGCGGCCACTAACCAGAATATCCCTATCAGCCCAGAACACAGCAAACTCGAAACATTGAAGATAAATTTGGTTCATTTTATAGTGGAAATCGTGACTACCATTAAAATGGTAATATAGACATGTTTTTCCTTAAATTGAGGCGATAATGAGGGCTAACGCTAAGGGGGCCATTGCCTATTTTGAACAAAGAAGATTAGTCAGCACCTGTCAGTGCCCGCGACGGGCCCACCACGAGATCTTCCCGTCCTCGTTTTCTCAACCTCACCTCTTCATCACGTTCAGTCCCCGATCTTCTATCACGTCTCCCATCCGCCACGAACGTCGGATCTTCTTCTAGTCTCTTTTAGTTTTACCGGCGCTTCTTGAAGATATTGTTCCTCACTTTTTTATTCGTTTTCGGACGGTTTTTTTTTTCTCCTCTCCCTTTGCCTCGCTCTTTAGGCTAGGATCCTCGACTCGTTCACCACTCCGAGGATCTTAAGAGCCTCTTTTTTCTTTACTCTCCTCGACTATTATCTCTACCGTCCTCGAATTGGATTGTAAGTTGACACTCGACGCGCTTTCACACGCGTTCTATGACCACCGGCTAACACACTAACGCACAGCTTAGGATGGCGGGACGCGTCCCCCTTGGTTCGGGGGCGAACCAGAACCGAGTGTTCATTGATTTAACGGATGAGACCGAACCAGGGGATTCTGAGGTGGTAAGTGCTTGTACCCATTCATCTCAGTCTTCCAAAGACTGCTCTGCTTGAGCCCCCATTTCCCCTGGCCCCTTATGGCCCCACTATGCTGTTCTTTGTCCTTTACTTTGTGCCAACTTTTTCCCCTTTTCCCCCCCAACTGTTTTACCTAAATATTGATCTGGTAATCCGATGGATTCTACGTACACAACCTGCTTACCAGATTCGTTTACTAAATATCGCTTCTAGCCAAAGAACTTGGTTCAGGGCAAACTTCCCTTCGTGGCAGCCTTGGCCTATCGGTCACCAACCGTGCCGCTAAAGAGGAAAAGCTTGGATGTATCTGAGGATACCTCGGATTCTTCGTCCAGCGATGTTCACAAGTTTCCACGGCGTGCACCCCTGCCGCACGCTCACCCTGATCCGTCCACGCCAAGCCCACCGCCAAGCTTGAGGCCATCTCAGATCAGTGTTGTAATCCCATCACCGACATCAAAACAAAAGCGCGATATTGCGATCGCTCAGAATGTCTCCGATGTGAATGGAATGGACATTAATATCTTCCCTACAACCGACGAAGAGGAAAGAGTCGCCAAAGCTGCATACCCTACTACCCAGGGTCGTGTTGACCGTCGTTCTATCCCATTGTCGTTCAAATCAAGTTCAGCTCTGAACGTTCTCAATCTAACATCACCCTCGGAAACAAACCACCGTTCAAAACTCCGTCACACTCTTGATGAGAAGTTAAAGCGCATCAACGGGCCTACGGTCATTCCGACAGTTGATTCCCCAAAGCGTCTAGCCAAGCTAGCCGATAACTTTGAGTTCATCAACAGTTATCAGTACCGTGCGGGTGTGGAACGGATTCCCGATGACTCTGATTTCAATATCGGCTGTGCATGCAGTGCCACTGGTGGCTGCGATCGGTTCGAATGTGATTGCCTCAGCAAGGAAGAAGATTCCGAAGATCGGATCGTCCCTTATCAGATCTGTAAGGCCAACCCCAGATTGATTGTCGCGACCAAAAGTTTCCTTAAGCGTAAGGCAATCATCTATGAATGCAACTCCCGTTGTGGCTGCGGCGGAACACGATGCTGGAATCATGTCGTTCAGAAAGGAAGGACTGTCAGACTGGAGATCTTTGACACAGGAGCTCGGGGCTTCGGTTCGTCTCACTTCGTCTTCTCTTTCTGTATGTGTTCATACTAACCATGATCTTTATTAGGTCTTCGGTCTCCCGACTTGATTCACGGCGGACAATTCATCGACCTTTACCTCGGTGAGGTAATTACAAAAGCTGAAGCCGACGAGCGTGAGAACCTCACCGATGGTTCGCATACACAATCATACCTTTTCTCTTTGGACTGGTATGTGAAAGATGACGACGATGAGGAAGAAAACATGAAAGTTATCGACGGCCGCAAGTTTGGCTCAGCAACTCGGTTTATGAACCACTCATGCAACCCTAATTGCAAGATCGTCCCTGTCTGCACCACAAATCATGCCGATCAATACCTTTACAACCTTGCCTTTTTCGCCTACCGCGACATTTCCCCTGGCACGGAATTAACTTTCGACTATAATCAGGGCGAGGAGAACACGACTCCTCAAAAGATTGATCCTGAGGCTGTCCAGTGCCTGTGCGGTGAAGCTAAGTGCCGTGGACAGTTGTGGCCCAACAAGCGCAAGGGCCAAGGATCTAAGCCTTAATAGGCTTTCTCTTTATTTCAACTGTGCCGTGGCTGTCCTTCCTGCCAACCGGCCAATATTCTCGCATATTTTTCTTTTTGCGATTTTTCATACCCCCATCATGTGTGATTAGCGACTTGGTGTTTTTGCACCATCATGACCATAACGCAAGTGCATAACCGCATACCCCTCTTCTAGGCATCTCTAACCCTACCGGCGTCCTGATCTCTCTCATCTTTGGCATCTTTGTTTGCCTTTGCCATCATGTTGAAATTCACAATACCCTGACGAGAATTATGTATGATTAACAACAAACAAAGCCTAATTTCAAATTACTTTCACATTCTTTCTTTGACTTAACCCTAGTGAGGTCATTCCGTGCTGTCCTCACCTCTCTGCTATATAAGTGGGAAGTGGGCATTTAGTCAAGTCTAGAAGCATCATCTGAGACAGAAAATTGGTATGACTCGACTATATTCCATACGGCTATGACATTAAAGCCTGTCCCAGGGAGTAAATTCTAATCTCAAAGTGAAAGGGTTACTAGTTAAAGAATGTCATTCAAGGAAGATAGGATGGAAGAAAACAGTAACCTGCATAGGACTAAGCATAGTTGGTAATAGATAGGGACGGTAGCAATAGTATAGTGTTCTAGTAAGGACTATGAGAACTATAGCTGAATATATTTCATAGGACGTTGACCGTGGCTATGCAGTTATGCTGTCTAACTGCCTGTCAACTAACGGATAACTTATTAAACGAAGTATATAAAGTGCTAGCTAGCGATGCTCTCAAATAGAACCTACCTAGTTGGTATACGTACATGTACCTAGGTAAACGTTTCTCTAAGATTAGGTTTTATATGGGCTGAGTAAGGTTATCCCGAGGCCAAACCTTGGAATGTAATTTATAGGGTTTCCGGGGTTGCACCCGGCCAAGGTCAGGTACAGACCTCCGAAATATTGAGCCAAACCTTTGTACCCAGATATACCGCCCTGTATACCGCCTGCCCGGTATATACTGACTGCTATAAGAAGTGTCGGCCGCGTAGTCTTCCTAGTGATCTTCTCAGGTAGTCTTCTCCGATGGTTTTTTCATGTGTCTTTTCAGTAGTCTTTTTTGGCAGTCTCCTTAGGTATATAGCTTTGACTACTAACCTCTTAGCGCTGGAATGTGTCTACACGCTAACTATATTAAGAGTTTTAGGCTGGCAGAACCGGCAGAATTTGGAGGCGGTATATCTTGGTACGAAGGTCTAGCCCAATATTTCGGAGGTCCCACTGTATGGTCCGTGCAACAAATATCATATCAACCTTAGGTATGCCCTATTTACATCAGTTCATCTAGTCGTTCGTTTTATCTTTAAAAGTGAAATATATATGATGCTCATTGGATATCAATGGCAAACACTCTCCACTCCGAGTCTACTACAAAACGCCTAAAGACTGGATCATAGGTCTTCCTTCGCATGTGTCAAAGCGGCATACAAAAACCCTAGGCTTCCCGAGATAATGACCCCAGAAAGGTACTGATACTACTGATACCACGCCCTTACTGGAAAAAACAACAACATCACAACCAGTCCCAGATTGGCTGTGAGGAGAGCATAGCCCAAAAGGTATGCCTTAAACACACCTGGGCACGGGAGCGGATTGATCAACGAAGAGATACAGACCAACCACCCATCCCACGACAAGCAGATATGTGATAATAGACCTGCATTGTTCCAGGCTGGACTGGGAGTCCCACGGCAGCTCCAGATTGTTGAGGGCCAGCGGCTTATGGTAGCTCGTCTCGTAGATTTCCTCCACGGCACCAGATAGTTTGTGGATGTGGTCGAGGAGGATAGTTAGTTGTTCGGGTATAAGAATGATGGCTAGGAGATGAAAGACATATAGCTTTCAAGAGTAATGTAGTCAGAGCAAAAATGCCCAAGCTGAGGATGAATTGATGAGAGCCATCATTGTGGCTTAAGAATCTGAAAGAGGGTAGTAAGGGAGGACGTCATAAATTAAAAGCAAGAAAAATATCGCAAAATTATTGTAATTATACTCTGGTCTAGTTGTATCCCAAGTAAAATGACCCCTAATGACCTTGTAATGTCTGTGTATGGCTATGTTTCAGCACTCGGAAATTAAGGCTAAGCATGTGGCTTGATGCTTCGCTTCTCCGAGCTTTAGCCAAGGTTGATGTCTTTTTTCGATCTCGGAGCTTTCCTCTGATGTAACTTCTGATATATCTGCTCTGCTAAAAGATATTAAGTTAGGGTCCCAATGAACTCCGCAATGCGCACAGCATAGACTGAATGGGATAGCTTCCTCTATATGGCCCCGTGTCTCTGGTATAGCTTAGCTGATACAAAAACTACTCCACAAGCGAGTGTAACGCTGGCAAAAGTACTAACCGTGCACAGATCGGGCAATTGCCTTCCCTAAGGTTCTTTTCAACACGATAGTGGCTGCCGGGTCAAGACAATAGATTCAAAAGTCCTGTTCTTTTCAACGGCTTCCTGGCAGCATGCAGTACTCTAAGTGTTTTTGTCTATTCTTGGCACATGTTTAGTACTTTATTCTTTTGGGCTATTAGGGTGTAGAGAGAGATAGGGGCAATATAATCCAACTAACCCACTGGTGGGCTCTAGCAGGCTTACCCAATAGCCCAAGCCCTCTTTTGAGGTCAGGGTGAAGACTCTAGATACAAGACGTATAAAAATAGACACTGAAGAAAGTAGTGGGTATGCTTCTCAAAAGAAGAAGAGCTTAGGGTATTTATATTCCTTTCCAAGTGTATCGCATCAAGCAGGGTACTAAGCAGTGGTAGGATGAGACCACCCTAGGGCCTGGGACATAAACGGTATTAGAGAAGTATATGAACAGAAAACAATATATTTCATTTGGACAGATATTTCCGCAAGGGCTCAAACGTAACAAAAAAAAGACAATGACATATTTCCAATATCCAGCCTCTATACAATATTTCCCTGTATATGTATCCCACATTCTTTTTCCGAAAGCAGAGAACCCAACTTTTAACCAAAAGAAAAAATACAGAGCCAATTAAAACAAATAGAGTATCACAGCATAAGCCAAAATAAGTAGAAAGAAAGAAAGAAAGAAAGAAAGAAAGAAGAAAAAGAAGAGTCAAGCCTAAGCCCGCCCCTCCATAACCTCAAAGATGCCGCCCATCACGAAGTTCGGCTTCACCTCCCAACCCCCAAATCCACCGGCCGAGGTTCCATCAGCCCCAACCCCTGTCTCTCAATAGCATCCCCATCACATCGCGACCGTTCTTCGCTCAGCGCCATATCGATCTTAGACGGTCGTCGACGCACGACCATCGAGCGGCCGCGTAGAACAGCACAGGGGAGCACGCTGACGCCGCTGGCGTTGTGGGGGGTATCGGAGACCGGACGCGGGCGGGTTGATGTGTTTTCGGGATTACTTGTGTGTCTGACGCTGTCGGGGTGCCCTTGGAATGTGTGGGCTTTGGAGGGGTGGAAGGAGAGGTTGAAGAGGTGGTGTGGAGAGCTCTGAGGCGAGTGGGTGGAAGTTGGGGAGGAGGGTGGTGAGGTCGTTGTTGAGCTTGCGGTTGAGGTGTCGCTGGTTGATTTGGGGCTTCTGGAGCGGAAAGATGTGCTCAGAGACAGGAATGGTGAGGTGATGTGCATCGTTGATGTGTTGATGTGTTGATGTGTTTGGTGCTTTCTCGTATTATGGAATGTGAGGCTTTGGAGTTGGAGATGGCTATGACATGATAGAAGATTGGGATAGGATTGAATTTATTAGGAGAACTGGGGATTGACTTGGGTTTATTAATTCTGTAAATCTATAATCCTATAATTCTATAACCGGGTCGACTGCAAGGACTCTGCTGCAGGGAGAGTTAAGACACGACGCATGCGGATGAATGTGATTGTCGAAAACGGACAATGCCTTTTCTCTTTTTTACTGGTTTAGTATAATTTATAGAGATATGTACTTGTAACTTGTACTTATCTATCAACTAGAGGTACACAGATGTAAATGTATTCTTCCACGGACGTTCACAGTCTCTTCCAAGGGTGTCCGATTTCCTCTTTGGGTAATAACTAGTCCGACCCACCTGATTCACATTCATGCAGGCTATAGTTTAAACGATCATCTCTTTTGTCAAATAATCGTTTTATCCAAGTCTATGGAAATTGAAATGGGATCCCACGCTATGCAAAATGCTCCCCTTAGGGAGAATAGTATACAGCACAAAACCCAGAACAGAAAAGCCCCAATCTATGTGAGGGGAATGCTAAAGAAAAAAGAAAAAGGAAAAAAAGAGGGAGAAAACAAAACCGCCCTACTATCCAACCACTTCGTGATAACATCCAAAATTCATATAGATCAATATGTACAGCAGTTTATTCAGAACTGCGGTCGCCCGATCGTCGCTGCGTGAAGCTTCGTCGGATACTCTCACCCCAGGCGGAGTTGTCCAGCGAATGCATGACATCTTGTACATTCATACTGCTGTTCTGACGCGAAGAATCGCTAGCCGAAGACGCCTCGTGCGATTCGCCAGTGTCGAACGAAGTGCGCTCCCCATACATTTGACGTGGTGTAATTGAGGGACTGATACTCGACCACTCCCTCGTAGGTGTGCTGGAGCCAGACATTGACCCGCTCAAATTGGTATTGATGCGAGGCAGAGCATTGCGGTTTGCAGTTGGACTGGACTCGGCTCGTCTGTGTTGCGAGACCGGTGAGAGCATAGGCGGGAAGTTTCCGTCCAACTCGGGCTGTGTCTGGGGTGTCATCGCGCCAGAACCTGGCTGGTCGTGCTCGTCGGGGTCGTCGACTGGATCGTCGACAAAGATCTCCGGCACAGTGAATGTCGGGACCACGCTCATCCGGCCGTTCTTCTTGCGGTCAACCTGGCGGCGGAATTGGCGGGACCAGTATAGAGTGTCAAAGAAGCCGACGACGGTGTTTCGACGGACAGCCTCTTCCACCCGCTGCAGCCGGGCCCGACGACGTAGGAATTCTTCGAGGCGCAGACTCTTGCTATCGCTAATCACATTGTAATGTGCGAGGATCATCAGGCATTGGTGGAAGGAGATGCCGCGGTCCGGGTCTGCCGACACAAGGATTTCTTCGTAGAATGCATTCAGTCGTCTGCGCCGCTCTCGAATGCTTTGCACTGGAATCCGCGATATGATCCGGGAAAGCTCGGCGATATCCACGCCAGACGAGACACGAGAGTTTGGCCGCATTGAATGTCGTGACTCAACCAGCGAGACCATCGAATTTCTTGCGTAAGAACCGATCGAGTTTCTTTGAGGATCGATCCGGCATTTTTCCAGGATACTTCCAACCGTGAACTCCCCCTCGTAGATTCGCATTGCAAAGACACCAGAGAGCTCACCAAGTAGTCGAGGGAACTGCTCCGTGGATACGAAACCGGTCCCATCCGGATCATATGTCGCCCACGCCTGCTTGAACCGGCGGATCTCTTCACGACTGATCGCGTACAGTCCGCTACTCCGCTGGTAGACATAGGAGAAACTTTCGAAAATTAAAGAAACAAACAGCGAGACGAAGATGTACATGCTGATCAGGTTCCATGCAATGAAGAGAGTTCGCGCCCACGGCGCGCTTCCACAGTCGTCGTCGAGGAAGTTGTCGTTCTGCGTACACATGGGCGGAGTCATGGTCGCGAAGTCCTCCATGAATTCATTCCACCCTTCTCCGCAACTTGCTCGGAACAACAGGATCAGTGATTTGGGCACATCGCGGAAATTCTGGTTGTGGTCCTCATTCTCGCCGAACTTGGTAAGGCCGAACGCCTGGTTCATCGCAATACCAAACACCAAGAACAGCACGAACCACGTAGCCAGAAGATTTCCAATCACGGACACACTAGCTGCTGCTGTCTTAAAGAGCTGATCAAGCTGGTTGTTCCTTGGAATAAGCAGCAGAGCAACAGACACGAGGAAAAGCTTGTTGAGCTCTACCACGGCATGACTCTTTTCACTGTATGAGATGTCAAGGATGGAAGTGATGAAAGCGCCGGGGACGGCGATGAGAGAGTACAGGTCCCATGAACTTCGGCTAAATCGATGCCACCCAAGACCAATCAGTCGAATAAAGACATTCGCAACGTAGACAAGCGTGAATACCAAGAATATAATAGCTAGATTTACCAATCAGTAACACGCAACATTCCAAATCAAGGCGAAGGGAAAAACTCACATCGAACCATCTCCCACCAGGGCGGTTCTGGATAGTATTCCACGACAAGCAATAGCAGGTGAACTACAAGAACGCAAGTCACGAACCACGCCCACCGGCCATGCTTCTTAACTGAAACTCGATAACACCACAGTCGCAGCTTCTGGCTCTTGTCATCAAAGGATCGTTTCGAGGGCGATATCTGTCGGAGAAGTTTCCGCAGTTCCAACCAGGAACGTTGCTCCGCCGTCAGGAAGGCAACACCGGTTTGTTCTGTGTAATTGCGCATGAACACAGACACGAATAGTGTCAGGACAAACACGGCTCCAAGTAAGTTGAACACCACGAAGAATAACCCGTTCTCTGGCGCCACTAGATCTTGCGGCTGAATCATCTTCCCCTTGATACTCATCGCAGCTTCTTGTACGTCGACCCAACCTTCTTGGGAGACAATTTGGAACAGAATGAAGAGGGAATTGCCAAAATTATCAAAATCATAATAAGAGTTCCCAGCCACTCGTGGAGCAAGCACGTCCCAATTGTATGGCGAGCTGGCATATTCATTGACGCAGTTGGTCAAGTTCCCAGAAAAATTACCGTCATTGCAACTGGTCATCTGCCCGTTGAACAGATTGACTCCATAGATTGCGAATGGTATGAGGAAACTCATAGACACTGCAGCGGCAGCAATGACCTTCCATCCCCCGACAATGATGACAGAGTGGAATGTGTCCTTAGCGCTGTCACTGACATTCAAAAGACGCAACGCCCTCAGCGCTTTGAAGGCACCAATGGCTCTGGAAACACTCCAATCCTCTCTGAGCGAGCCACCGACACTGACCCACAGCGTGATCAACACGATTCCGTCAATGAATCCCCAGGAACTGCGGAAAAATGCGTTCGGCGTCCAGAAGAAACCATCGGCGATCACTTTGATCGTTGCTTCGATAGTAAACACAACGGCAAAGCCCAGATCAGTATAGACGAACCAGTTGCGGTCAGTACGGAAATACTGCCGCTGGTACAAAGGTGTTGTGATGCAGGCGAGAAGCACCATGGCGACAATGGCTGCATAAATGAAAGCAGAGAACGCATACCACACTGGCTTGTATGGATCCACACCCTCGACTCGTTGGTGGCCGCGTCCTGGACCGACAATTCGTTGACAAAATTTCCGAACAATATTGTCCGGTGAGAAAAGAAACAGTGATTTGTTATAGTTGGGGTGTTTGACGAGATATGCTCGCTGGTCCCGTTTCCTTTGCTCTGCCGCAGTAACAACTTCTCTTGCCATGGTTCTCGGATCCAATTCTTCGTAAGCACGCGAAAACTTCAGCTTCGAGTAGAAAGGATTTGGTTCCCTCCGCATAAGGAGCGTAGTGGCTTTCGTCCATAGGAGTGAAATCCAGCCTGGTTGAATGGTCTCTTGAGTCGCGCCTTCTGTCATTGTGCTCACCCTTCGCGGGTCCTTGTGTCTTCGCCGTTCTTGATGCCTGGTTTCTTCTTCATCAAGGAACTCTTGCACCACGGCGTCTTTCAGCAACATTTCCAACGCTGCAGGGCCATGGTCGAGTGGATCTTTGTACCGGGCTGAATCTCGGCCTATACGAAGGATTTTCGAGAGCGCTAGGTTTCCTTGGGGTGCTCCATGGACTTGTTTCTGTTCCAAAAACGCCCTGACCTGGTGCATTCGTTTTTCGTCTTCTGAAACATCAAAGCTTTCCTGAATGACAGCAATGAACATGTTTAGGATGATGAAGTTGGACACAATGAACCAAAGAACGATGAATGCTGCCGAGATCCAGGCGGTATTGAAGTCGGTTGTGTATGTGGTTGCATTGTAAAGAATCGTGGTCCAATCCTCACTCGACAAAATTTGATACATTCCCAGGAATGAGTTGTAGATATTCGAAAACGTGATCAAGTTCGGCGTGCCACCTGGATCTTTATCTGGGATCTGGCTTCGAAAAAGCTGTGTCGCGAAAATGGCAGCCAAAAATGTCATCAAGAATAGGAAAAATATCAAGTTAAGCAGACCGACGGTATTGCGGAATACAATCACGATCAGCTTTCTGGTCACGGAGAAAGCCAGTACAACTCGGTAGACCCGAAGGATCTGGAACAAAGTGAGGACTGTGTATGCACGACCTGAGTTCCTGATAGGCGGTAGCTGGATGATGCAGGTAATGATTACAAGCAAAAGGTCTGTCAAGTTACGACGCCTTCGATGAAACATGCGCCAATCCGAGGCGAATCGCAGGATGATCTCAACGAGGAAAATGATAGTGACAACAGTCTCAGTAGTATCAATAAACTGGGCTCGACTGGCGGACATAGACGAGCTTCTGAGTGCTTGCACGACAAGGTCGAATATGATGAGGCAGACCCAAACCCACTCAGTTTGATCATATATACGCTTGAGAGGACTCACTTTGCGAGACATTGTATCATCTCCATCGACAGAATC